CTAAAAGTCAATATATATGTTCCTCCAACTACCAGTCAGTAAATTAAAAGAAAAGATGTCACTGTCATCCTGGAGGACTTTTATCTCTGTGAATCACACCAAAGTCAAAAACCACAAATACTAAGGCAGATAAATTGGGAGTCATCCTGATTCTTCATTCTCACCTCATATCCAAACTATATGAAACCCTAATTTTATCTTACATAGAGCAAAAAACCCATTTGTCATGTTCTCTATCATTCTCCCAGTCCCTAGCACAGAGCTTGGAATAAAACATGTGCTTAATAGAGTATGAAGAAATAAATCAGATCTGGAAGATATAAAGATCAAGTCACTTTGTATTAAAAATTCAATTTTCAAAATCTAAAAGTATCACCAACAAAAAAGTTTGAAAACTAACGTGCTATTTATAACAATGGTAGTGAAGTTTCAGGAAAAAAACAACTTCTCTTTTGCACTAAGAGGTTGCTGAATGAAAAGCAATGACATGACAAAATTAGAGATGCAATCAGGAAAGAGAAACCACACAATAATCTGAATCTGCAAAGTATAAAGAAAATAACTATTAAAGAGGATCAAAGTAATGAGGGATTGGCTAATAAAAAATAACTCTACAGAGTATGGGACTGACAAATGTAAGGAGAATCCACTACAATTAGGGGCTGAGCTAGAGCTTCTTCCCACCTCCCAGGACTGAGATGTGCACCTTGTTGGGGCCTGGTTGTGGCTCATTGAATGGCGCAAGAAGTAGTTGTGGGGACTTGGCCAGTGGATCTTGCTGCAAATTCTCCCTCTAGGGTACTGGGGAAAACGTCATTGAGAGGTATTTTGCCAGAGGGCCTCCACGCTGAAATCAACTGAAGTGGGTGCTAGAAATTGCGGGCAGCTGCTAACCACTATGCAGTGCAAGAGCCAGCCACTAGAGAAGGTGTTCACACTCCTAAAGCAGGGCAGAACCTGCTGAAAGCACACTGTACCCAGGAAGAGAAACTTTCCTCCTGCAATGTCCCTCCAATGCTGTCTACTGATAAAGCTGAATATTGTGCCAGCTGGCAACAGAAAAATATTTAAAGGATCCAGTTGCATATCCACAGAGCTTGCAAGAAGGATGATTTTGGAGCTAAATTTTATTGTCATAGTCCAACCCTTGGCTACTGAGCTTCAGTATGTACTCTTCTACATATCTGAACTCCCATACAATAAAAAACAACAGCAGCAGGGACGCCGGGGTGGCTCAGTCGTTAAACGTCTGCCTTCGGCTCAGATCATGGTCCCAGGGTCCTGGGATTGAGCCCCACATTGGGCTCCCTGCTCAGCGGGAAGCCTGCTTCTCCCTCTCCCACTTCCCCTGCTTGTGTTCCTGCTCTCGCTGTGTCTCTCTCTGTCAAATAAATAAATAAAATCTTAAAAAAAAAAAAAAAAAAACCAGCAGCAGAGGTGGCTTTCCCAGCACCAGGCTCCAGCAGCACATGCAGTTTCAAACATTCATTCTTAACTTAATCCTTTCCTAAGAACCAATCAGAAGAAGAATACAGGCTTAATAAGGAAATTTCACAACTTACTCATAGGTTACCTAAGTTGAGCTAACGTGAATCCTTCTTATACAAAGATAGTTTTTGTTTGTTTGTTTTTAAAGAACACTAACCACGGCACTAGACGATCTTGGTTAAAATCCCAGGTCTATCTCTTTTAACTGCAGAGCCTTAAACAAGTTACCTAATATTTCTTTGTCCCTGTAAAATGGGGAGAAATCTTCCTCATAGGGTTGTTGTGAAGACTAAATCAACTAAACTGTGTAAAACACTTAGACCCTAACCTTGCATAAGTCAGCAAATGTTAACTGCTGTTATTTTCTATAGAGATGGAGTTAGCTTATTTTCTGTCTCCCCACACCAGAATGAACACTCCATAAAGGCAGGGAGGATGTGTGTGTTTTGTTCCATGCTTTATCCTCACCACCTACAATTCCTGGCACGAACGGTGCTCAAAAATATTTAATAAACTGCTGATCACAAGCCCTTCTATATTAAAAGACATGAGTGGTGGGGCGCCTGGGTGGCTCAGTCGGTTAAGCATCTGCCTTCGGCTTGGGTGATCTCAGGGTCCTGGGATGGAGTCCCACATCGGGCTCCCTGCTTGGCGGGGAGCCTGCTGCTCCCTCTCCCTCTGCCTACTGCTCTGCCTACTTGTGCTCTGTCAAATAAATAAATAAAATCTTTAAAATAAATAAATAAAATAAAAGACACAAGTGGCAACTCTTCAAAGTCCTAATGTAATAAGGACTTACAGTTTAGTAACTGAGAAACCACGGGGGGCGGGTAAAATCAAAGAAAAAAATTATGTCAATCTCTTCTTTATTTTATATATTTTTTTTTCGGGGGAGGAGGCAGAGGGAGAGAGACTCTTAGGCAGGCTCCACGTCCAGCACAGAGCTGGCACAGAGCCCTACACTGGGTTTCATCTCACAACCCTGAGATCATGAACTAAGCTGAAATCAAGAATCGGACGCTTAATCAACTGAGCCACCCAGACGGCTCACCAGTCTCTTCTTTAGTAAGACCAATATCTGCAACATATTTCTTCAGTGTTTTAATTTGGCATTTACTAGTCACGTGGCCTAGGAAAATCACTCCACTGGAACCTCATTTTCCTCTTTTGAGAGGGCAAGAATAGCTACTAGGAACTGTTTAAACATTTTTCTTTAAATAATGTCTACAACAGCATCTACAACAAAGTTTATAATCTACTCAATTCAAGTATCACCTAAAGGCAACCTCTGGTTTTTCAAGTTTGAGCAGTACGCAATTAGCTTGCACTGCACTCGACCAAGTTATGCTTAAACTGAAATTATATTCTAAAGGTGTTTCAGAAAAAAGAGCTATGGTATGGTTTAAGTTTCATCAGGATAGCCAATTCTGCAATCCCCTAAATTCTTCCTTCGAAGAGTTTCCTTCGAAAAGGACATAGGTTGTGTTATATATCTTTTGAAGGGAAAGTAAAGCATCCAAGATATATCTGACATATATAAAATATCTATTTGTATTTCCAATTTAAAAGAACCAAAAAGACCACCAAGTATCTGACACTAGATTTAATAGTGAATATTTTGAAAAGTGACCCTACTAATGACAACCACACCATCTAGCAGAATAGTTTATTCATATTTTCACAATATTTTGACATCCAAATTTCTAAAACTTAACTCCATTAGTTCCTCTGTTAATTTCCCAACACTGAAATAGGTGTCCAGTCAAAAATAACCACAAAATACAGGCAACATGAGCACCCTACTAGCAATTTTTAGTAGTAATGATGCAATAGCACTCTCATTATTTACTACCTGCAAGGAGCTGTTGGCAAAGCTTTAATTCCTTCTTAAGTTACAGACACAAATAATTTTATCATTGACTTGAAACAGAAAGTGGAGATACCTCATTTTTCTTGCAAGACTAGAACTCAATCAACAAGCACTATAAATCTCATAGCAGAGTTGAAATACTAGCTTTGCTAAAAATAATACAAAAATTATGGAGCTTAAAATTAGAATAGATCCTATCTACTACTAATACCACCAATTTTACAGCAATGTAAGTTTTCATTCTTGAGACCTAGAGATTACCTTTTCAAGATTTGTAGGCTCCACAGTCACTTAGTTAAGATATCTGGTGTTCTACATTGAGAACATCTAGACCCATATGAATGACTGAGTCTCACTTCTCTTCCAACAGAAAAGCTCGCCAGAGACAGTGCAGTTTAGAACTGGTTTTCCGCACTTTATGAAAAATCCCCGTTATCAGAAAAATCATTTGAAATACTACTCTTCCACAGAGCATCATGTGATCTACACTACCATCTTTTTTTTTTTTTCTTTTCTTTTTAGATACACAAGCCATCACAAGTTTAGTTCTGCTCCCTTCCCATCACCTTACAGGAGCAGCTGGGTCATGAAGGAGGAAGTGGGGATACGCTGTACATAACAGATGCCACCACTCGTTTAAGTCTTTATTGGAAAACTTTGGGATGTGACACCACCACCAGCTTACCCAAGAGAGAACAGCAAACCAAGTTACTGACAGCAAAAAATGATAAATCACCCAACTTGACTTAAAAAAGAAACAAATGAACACCACTAACTATATTGTATCTCAATGACTATGGAGTCTTTCTGTTAAATCTGTAACAAATTTTAATAAACCTGATATGCATTTCCAGGCAGTGTTTGAATTCAGATGAACTTAAGCATCCCTATATGGTAATATAGGTAACTTATTAGTTACCTATATTAACAAATGTTTCATATGGCAAGTTTTCAAATGCTTTCAGTAAAACACATTTTTAATCCAGCCCCCCCAAAACACCCTCTACTTAAATAATCAACACAAATATGATCTTACGCTTAACCTTACACACAAATATAAATATGGGAAAAGGAGAGCGGTCTATCACCAATCAGGATGCATTAATCTCCCCAAAGTGGGGGATGGAGGCGCAGGGAAGGCTCATAAACCTGAGGTGTATTCAACAAGAGCGATTCCTCATGTTTTCCGCATTCTGCAACCCTCCGTCGCTCAGTGTTGCGGCTCGGGTCATAACCTATAACCTTCACCCAAGAGCCAGCATTTCTCCGTGGTGTACAAATCCAGTTGCTGGAGGAAAAGGGGCTACAGGATAGGCCAGGCCGTGCCACTCAGGGACGTCCGATGTGGGGCAAGAAACCTTTTCGACTCCAGATCGAAATCCGAGCAATGGGTGCATTTGCAGAATGGATTTTTCAAGAAGGTCCCTTAAGACAAAAAAACCATTCCCGAACTCGGGAGTGGGAACTGAACGGACCCCGGGCCCGCATCCACGCAGCCCTGACCCAGCGCGGAGACGCCGCGCGACCGTACCGCCCACAATCCGGAAGTATTCGGAGACCACCCCCCCCACTCCCCAACACACCCAGCCAGCCAGGGCTGACCGTCTCCCCCACCCCTACGCCCTCGGCCCGCGCCCCTCACCCTGGTGATTGAATAGTCTCCATATCCTGGTGAAGAGAATTCCCATTCTTGGGCAGCGGACCCCCCTCCAGCCACCCGGACCGCCTGGCCTCCCCCGGCTCAGGCTGAAGGGGAGGCGAGAGACGCGCCGGAGCCTCCGCCTCTGCTGCTGCTGCTCCCGCGCTGGCCGCCAGTTCGCTTCCTGGGAACCGGAGGGAGGCCGAAGGCCAGGGCGCCCTGCCGCGTGCGAGGCCCCGCCGCTGCCGCCGCGGCACTCGCCTGGCTCGCGGACATCGCCGCCGCGTTGTCTGCGACGAGCCTCGCGGGCCACCGTCCTCCCCCAGCTCCTCTCGGGCGGCTGCGGTGGTGGCGACCACGCGGGCGGGGGAGGAGAGAGGCGAGACGGATGGTACGCGAGGGCGCAGGCGCGCGGCCGGAGGGGCGGAGCCTGGGGAAGGGCGCCTGCTTGGCTCTCTCGTTTGTATAAACTGGCGACCTACAGGCTGCGGGACTGAGCCCGGGGATCGAGGTAGTACGGGCTGCGATTGTGACAGATCGCTCTTGCCTGCTTGCTTTAACGTCCTCGCCAGTTTTCTGTTTTTCCCTGCATTTCCTCGACAGAGGCATAATGTAAATATGTTAAATGAATGCCTAGTGCCCATCCCCCATCTTTCATACTCACTACACCGAAAGTTACACGTCTTGCCCCGCAAAGACCTGAGGTTCTATGAGGGAAGCTTTACGTCTCTCTCAAACCGCTTGCCCCTGAAATCCAGCTGAAGCCAGTGGCATTATCTACACAATCACTTAACAGCAGTCGCCTTACGAAGTCTTTGTACCTCAGGGCTCTTCCCTCTCCAATCTCCCTCCACTTTCAAGTCAATCTTGCCCCAAGCAACGCTTTTGATCAAGTTCCTTCTCTATTAAAAAATCTGTGGTGGCCAATAAAACTGAGGAAAGTCCAAATACCTTAGATACTCCTTTTTCTCCAGAATATGGCTCCAACTAGCCTTTGCAGCTGCAATTTCCATTATTCCAAACTGGTTAAACAGCTGGTCAAATATTTTCTCTGCCCCTCCAGTCTTCTTGCCTGTACACCTAGAATAGCTATGTCCCATGCTATGCAAGTGTCACATTGTATTTAATCAACCCTCTGCTATGGGATATCTAGTTGAAAACTAGAAGTGAATCATTAGGTCAGGTGATATCAGAGAGAGTTCTACTTCCATGTGTTATTTTTTGGCTAGGCTTCTATTTTCACATATGGAAAAGCAGTGGGTTTGTCTCTAAGGTCTTTCTTTGATTCATCAGATAATCTGATAATTAGTCTCTGGTCTTGTTAAAGGCAAGAACTGGGTAAAAAGAAACAAGTTTACTTCTCTTTCACAAAGAAATCAATCAGAAACAGCCCCATCGCCTTCTATTCTCCTGAACCTTGGTAAAAAAGGAAGAGAAAGAAAGAAGTGGGGAAGCTATAAAAGACATTTTGGACTCTTCTGACACTCCATCCTCAAAAGCTGAATGGAATTAAACGAAATCAACAATAAACTACATATTTTCACCCTACATCTACTAGCCATAAAATATCTTATCTTGATATATAGAAAAATACAAGTAAGACCCTGAGAATCTACAATTCTTCTTAACTGAGCTAGAAAATCTGTACCTGTAAAGCAGAGAGCAATTTTGAAGACTAAAACCTGTCTCTTTCTGAACAATTGTGCAAGAAAAAAGTCCTTTGATTTTTTTCAGGGCTTATGGCTGAAAAGCCAAAATTAGAGGAGACATATGAAGGGAAAGAAAATTACTATATTAATCCATTTTATGTTATGTTTATATTTACATAATAAAGTACCCTCTAGGCTGTTTAGCAAAACAACAGTATTGTTTGCATAACTAATTTACATCAACTCTTTAATATTTCCATTCTTGCACCCTGCAGGTGGTGCTTTTAGCAGCTCTAAGACATTTTGCAAACTCCCCACATATCTCTGTCCACTTATTAAATGGTTGTCGTATCCATATTAACTTGTGAAGTTACGGCTTGGTCTCCCAAATTATTTTCTAAGTGTCATAAAAGGGGAATTTGCCTAATGCAATATTGTCCAAGTATAGGATCTAGGGATGGAATACAAATTTGGAACTACTATAGAAGTAATTGGAAATGTTTGTTGAGTCGTATGAAGCTATTTGTGAAAACAGACTCCTTATAAAATTTTTTAAAGACTAATTTATCCATGATTATAGTGGTGTGCAAAATGTCGTTAACGAGACTTCTACTTCCAGGTATGAGAGAGTAGATGGTCTAGACTTACCCTCCTATCATTAACAAATAGGAAACTGGACAAAATATAAAAAACAACTGTTTTCAGATGTTGGACAACACACAGCACAGGATTGTGATCCCTGATAAGAGACACAAGTGAGATGAATCTAACCATTACCTGGATTTTCTGCCTGGAGGCAATTCTTAGCCAGTGACAGGAGCTGAGAACTCAAATTGAATCTAGCATAGCAGCCTCCTTGAGTTGAAGATGTAGATCAGTGTTCGAAGAGATCAAGGTAACTGGAATTTGTGAAGCAGAGCAGCTGAAAGGAGGGAGCTATACGGAGAAAAGCTCCAGAAACCCACTTAGGTTGAGCCATTGAGTCTTTGACTGCGTATCAACCTGTACCTGTAGAGAAACCCCACTGGGCTGGCCAATAACAATTTCTAAGAAAAAGACAAATACCAGAGAGCTGTGAAACATCATAATTCCTAGAGCTCACTAAGGACCAGGAATCCTCTGGAGATCCCTTCAGTCAGAGTGAAGAGTACTCACTACATATATGGGACATTCAGTAGATAGCCCAGATTCCTTAGAAGAGGAGCTATATTAGCCTAAGAAAAAAGTCCTACTCTAGACCAGTCCTAAAGGAGCTTCAAAAAAATCTTGACAGCTCAAACTCATCTACGACTGCCTGTCAAAACCCGTCCAGCATTCTTTAGAGGAATACAAGATCAAGTCATCCACAATGGAAAGTTTACAATATCTCGAATCCAATAACAAAATTACTGGATATGCAAAGAAGAGAGATCACAAGAGAATGTGACCTGTAACCACAAGGAAAATTGCTCTACAAAAACAGATTGAAGTACAGGCAAGTTAAGTGATTGCTCCAAACTCATAGCTGGTTACTGCTGGCTCTTGGCTTTGAAGACAGGCAAGAGTTATAGCCTACAGTCTAACCACTATAGTAATCTGCATGTTGTATGACAGGACAACAGGATGTTTCTCCACAACCCATCCTAGTAGAAGAGATGTGTTGATGACCAGAGAGGTGGCTTCAGGCATATGGCCAGGTTGATGGAGTCATTGCATTGAGCTGCAATTCTTCAATTTGGGAGTTTCAGATTGTTCGCTGAAATGCCTTAAAAGATAGGACAGTCCTATATAATATTCTTCCAATAACTGAAGTATCATACATTCAGTCAACATTTACTGTATTCCTGGCATTGTTTTGTATGCCAGCTTAAAAGCATTTGATACATGTATTTTTAGATAAAAGTACTTTGCAGAGAAAAGTTACAATGATCTTTGGTTTCCTCATTTGTAGTTGGGTCTAATAATCTATGCCTTGTCTATGTTCCAGGATGGTCAAATGGATTAAATGAGATAATGTTTATGAAATAACTTGGCTGCAGTAAATCACTGTGTAATGTTAATGCAATGATAATAATCAACATAGTACACATTTCTTTTGAACTTCTTGTGCACTGCAATGAGAGAAAAGTCAAATGCCAATCGAGTCATAGCATGGTCACCTGACGCTGAGCACATGAAATATCAAGTCATAAGTTATATGCCATCCATGGAATGCTTATGGGTACAGGATACCTTTGGAAACTTCTGATAACTCCTACATTAATCATTTAGGGATTTCTAGTTTATCTAGTTTCTTTTTCTATATTGTATTCGATCCTATTTGCACATATATTTTAATATATTCTATTTTGGGTGTGTGTATTTAATTTACACACTCTTCCAAATATAATACTCTTTTGTAATAACTCATAGCACCTAGCAGAGTATTCAGGAAATCGTCATTTAATTGAATGTGTCATGAGAGTAAATGTTTAGACATTTTTGTCCTGCAAGAGGTATAGGAACATACCTCTAGAATAATATAAAGAGAGGTATAACGCTGGTTTCAGTGTTTTCTCATTTATTATATAAAAGAAAAAATTAATGCAGTTGGTTTGTACACATTTAAATTCCATAAAACAAATCCATAGAAATTAGGATACTCTATGCATGCACTCTGCATTTTCTTTGTTAAATGTTTTTGTTCACAAAAATAACAACACATTTTTTTTCTTTAAAGCCACTAAAGCAGAGGGAGAACAAAACATGCAGCACTGTATACATTTGCATAGTATATTTTACCCAGCATGCCTTGTAGAATGCTACACATTTACCTATATAAGAAAAATAAAAGGGGGTAAATTATTAAAATAAATAACTAAAATTTAAAGAAAGAAAAAATTATTTGACAAAGTCAGTATTTTTTGTCCACTTTGTACCTGGAGATATAGCAATAGCTTGGGATATCAACAGCCTCAGAATAATTGGTAAAATCTTTTTACATCAACTTGCCTTATTTATTTTTAGTTTTAATAAAATTATGTTTTTCCCTCCCACCACCCCTTCAAAAAAACAAAAACAAAACAGCTAATGGCTTTAACTTATGTTTCAAAATGGTATTCAATAAAAAACAAATTAAAGAATCCCTAAATACTTTACTTTTTTGTTGTTGTTGGGACATCTTTATTTATCATTCTGACTGTAGGCTGTGAAAAATATAAAACATTTCAAACATGTCCAAAATTTAGAGGGCCCCTATGAGCTCATTTGCCATTGCTTTTAGTAGCTGTTACTGAAGGAGCAGAAATAAGAACAGTAAATATAGTATGAGTCTTATCACAAAATAACATTTAATAAATTTTATGCAAGGGAATAAAATAAAATAAATTACATCCACAGATTGCAAGGCTATGAAGTAAATTGCTGGAAAAGTATCAAGCAGCAAGTTAAAAAGATGGTAGATGAAATAAATCTGATAAAACTTAGAATTAAATCTATATACTTTTAAAAAATACGACTGCCAAATTTAACAGTGGATTTCGTTATAAGTTTGTGCTATAACAAATGTGCTTCTTTCTCCTCAATCTATTTTCATATTATTGGCAAAATATATATCTTTTATAATTTTGTACTATACAATATATGTTTTGCTACATTATTTATTTTTCTACTGCTAATGCAGATAAGAAGTAACAACATAGATTTATTTTGGCAATAAAATGTTTTCATTTTAATAACGTCCCAGAAAATATTGTAAGGCATATGAAAAATAGTATGCAACAATATAGCATTAATGATCCTGCATCTTCGATACATCCCTTATGCATACAGAATTCACACTGACTTCAGTTAAAAGTGTGTGAAAAATGGCATGCAAGTAGGGCAAGAGTGGCCCCTACATAAATATAGCCATTTGTTGAGAAATTTGAGTGTTCAAAACATAACCAGGAACACTTACAAAATATTGAAAAGCTAGAGGCCAGTCACTTTGGGTTCTTATGTAGTTCTCCTTTTAACTTCTTATAATTTTCCAAGAGGATGCATCAGTATACTCCCCAGACCACTCTAAATTCATTAGTAACATTTTCTACCATCTCTCTGCAAACATTTTACATACTTCAAAAGAAACAAAGGAAAGTTTCATATGTATCTATGACTCTCCAACACTCTTGCTATTCACTCTTACTTGTAAGTTTCTCATGGTAAGTGGGAGTTACAGCCCTTGTTCAAATTTATCTGATGAGATAAATTTTCTAGTCTTCTCATACCGCCCCTCAATTATAGGAAGCATTTGGGATTAAACTATCCACAAGTAGATAAAAATAGTTGCTATAAGAGGGGGTATTTCATTTGAGAAAGTTCATTTTAATAAAAGAAGAAATCTTTACAAAGTAATTTTTGAATGTTGTAGCTCTTTGCCCATATAAATCAGTTTAACTATTTTGACTAACTTGGCTGTTTAAGTCAACAACAAAAAAGTTATCCTTGTTGTCTGCTGACAACTATTGTACTGACTAGTTTGATCATAATTATGTAAAAGAGGTGGCCTGTTCTCTGCCCTATGGACACAGTTTGAGTAAGTAACTTAGTAACAGAGTATTAACAATATTTAAAGATATGAGGAAGGAATAAAACAAATTTTATTACACAATTTGCTATAATGTTTTCATTCATATAGTCATTCAAAGATGAGTTTTATATAATTAAAAAGAAAACAACATGCAACATTGTCATGAAACACAAAGGCAGAAATAGAAAAGAAATAAGGGGTACAGTCCCATTTATTTAAAACATTTATATGAAGTTTGCTCCAATGACATGGGAGTCTAAGATAATGCATACCCTTACGTAGGAAATGGCTAACTGTCCACAGGAGACATTAAGGATCAACAAAATTTGAATTTCCAAACCAGCTGCACTTAAATATCAAGTTTTTGGATCTACTCTTTAGGCTTAGAGCTAGATATTTTAACAAACTGCACACAAAGGCAATCCCCTTGCAGTTTGTTTTGTTCCCTATGATGACAGATTTCTTAAATTAACCTTGTGTCCCGATAAACTGTGAACCAATTCAAAGAAAACTCCACTAAGATGGAAGAAAAGAAGGGTGACAAGAGTATTTTGGAAACAGTTTAAAATTTAAAGGGAAAGTATATTTTAAGAATTTATGCATTTAGTTTTGCAGCTAGGTTAGCAGTAAGAGTAATAAATCTGATCACTACTTATTGAAAAGTGTTTTTCTCTTTAAAGACAGATTGTCTTCTCTAGAGAAGAGGTAGTATAAATATTAATATATAGGGCAATTTCTACAGTGGCATTATATCATTTTTATTTTTTAGCAAATACCAAAATAAAATTGTATAACTAAAAAAATACACTAGCATGCAAATTAAGGTTGCCTAGAAACATTCTTGACTGACATCCTGGGTCTCCACAACATTTTATGATATGTTCATTCAAGGGTTTAAATTTGCAAACTATCTTTGGGCATAATTTCCTTCTCTCCCTACCTTTCACTGCCCTAGCTTCCTATTATGAATTTTAAGGCCCCCACACAAAAGACAAGTTCAAGTATGCAGGTATGAAAAGTGGTTAACATTCCAAAAATACATTTTGCAAACAACAATAATTAAAGTAATTAACAAATTATTCAAAGGGAACAAATAATTTTCTTAGAATTTGTTTTATATTTAAAAAATTCATTTCATTAAGGACTAAGTGCAATGACATATCATCACATAATTAAGACTTTCTTATTAGGAAAGACTATCAGTCTAAATTGTTAATTTCAATTTGCTTTCCAATAGAACTGTATAAAGATAAGAGAGAATCATCAGTCATTTATAAACATTTCCAAGTGTTGCTTTAAATATTGGAGTAAACAAGATAACATTGTTGATTATAATACTGGAGTCACATTATAGCCTTGAGTATTAACATCAGGATTGACAAATTGCATTCTCTTTTTTCCCAGAACTACATTTTCATATTGTCACATGAGTCTACAGTGTTACATGTTCGCAGACTGAAATTACAGAATATGTAACTTACATATTCTGATATTACATATACTGAAGTTACAGAATATGTGATTTATACAAGGTAAAACAGCCTCAAAACATTGTAAGACTTTTTCTCCTGCTTATCATTTGCTATTTTGAAATAAAATAAGTTAAAAACAAAGTATTTGTGGAATATGTATTTTTTAAAGTTGCTTGATATGCTTGGCAAAAATAAAACTTTCATTTAGTATATATCTGTATTTTAGTATCATTTACACAGTAAACTCTAACACTTAAAAAAAGGAAACTGTATATCTCTTATTTATTTGGAGAAGATAAACTTATTACAAAAGGAATGGAAAAGAATATGCCAAATCAAAGTAAAATTTCAAATATGTCCATCAAGAAAATATACATTATACCCTTTCCAAGATTGTTAGCTTTTGAATAAGAATGCAAAGCAAAACAGGTAGACACTTGATGGTAAACGACAGATTGGTTTTGTGCACAGATATTGAATAGACCTCTCTCTTCATCAGCATGACATGGAAGACTTAGAAACAAGGCTTCAAGAAGCTTTTAAAAACAAGTGATTTTTAAAAATTGAAAGAATATGGTAATCTTGCTGACTAGGAAATATAAGTAAATGCTGTTGCAGCTACCTGCCATAAAATGTAAATATCTTAAAGTAGTTAAATGACCAGATTGCTAATGCTACTACAGAAAAAGCTGAACAGCTGTCTAGTCTAAATTTATCACCTTGATGCACTCTTTGCAATTAAATACTTTAATGCGCACAAACAAGAAACCAGTAAAGCATATAGAAAAATGTTTTGGCTAATGTTTTCTTTTTCATGCAAATATGTGCTGTACATGTAATAAATATATTTTCGTTTGCTGGAAAATGCTCTTCTGTGCTCTAACAAAGTATTCAATAATGGCAGGTTAAATGTTTATTAAAGTGTCTAATGGATACAGCTCTTTTACATGTCTTAACTGAAAGTTCTGTAAGCTTCACTAGATGACAAAAGAACCTCACAAGCCAATATCACATGTTAACTTTTAGAATTTACTGAGCCCATATTTTCAATTGTATCAAATATGTGAGATAACTTACATAATAATAGGCATCCTCATCATAGCTAAACAGATTCATAATGGAGTATGCACAGTGAACAGGAGGGGAGGGAATGTGGGAGGTCATGATGGGGTTCAAGATATGTATAACTAATCAAGAATATGAAATTTATTTTTATAGTCAGGAAAATTATTTAACGGGTGCATGCTTTGAGAGCGTAAATATTGAAAGGCGTGGGAGGAAAATAAGGTAATAGAAATAAATTATTATTGTTTTCCAAACATAGGCTTCATGACATGTACCAGTAGAAAGGGATTTTTATGCCTCATCCTACTGGGGCTTTAGAAAAATGCATGCATTGTGGACTTTTAGAAACAAGAGTCTTTTCTGAAAGATACTGGTGTATTGTATAAAAGGGTCAATTTCAATAATTCCTTGAATCATAGTGCATCTAAGGCTTCCTTGATAATATAAGACAGAAGGTCACCAATTCTGTAATTTTAGCCACTGGAAAAACTGTCAAGACTTAACAGGTGAAGAGGGGTGTTCACTAGAAATAAGGCAGCTCAATCTCCAAATTCTTTGTAATTCTCGACAATAAAAATGCTGTAATTTTAGTGAACAAATATACTCTGAATCTGTGAGTTTACTTTTTATTGCAAGCTTTTAAATTCAACATTTGTTTTCACATTTTTCATTTAATCATTTTGTATAAACGCAGCTTTCAATATCAAAATTGAATGTTTCCATGTAAAACAAAAATCCTTAGCATGACTATAAAGAATTTGGGGAAGGGCTAGAACATTTATATATTCAAAGACAGAGACTGAATGAAGCAATGGAAAGATATGCAATTGTGCTGGCAGGAAATACAGGCCCATGTTTGTGGGAAGTTGGAGAGATGAATTCCCACCTGGAGATGTTTAGCTTCGCACTCAGGAGGATCTGTGCCATCCTTCCTGTCTGACTTCAGACTCCTGGATGTATGTAGTTGTGCTCAGAGAGAGGAAAGGGGAAACAACACCCCGTTTTCCATTTCCTGTGATCAGCTATGATTGGGCTTCTCTATATTATTCTCTCTCACTGCTAAAGAAATTTTGAGGTTTTTTTTTTTTTTTTTGCCAACTTCAAACAAGCTAACAGTAGGGACTAAACAAAAAGCAAAACACTTTGAATACAACAGCTGTGCCAGGAAAGAAACAAAAATATAAAATGTGAGGAGAGCGTATAATTTCTGCATTAATTTGAGGTGGGTTTTTTTGGCACTATCAATACATTTGGTAAGTTTGAAAAGTCATTCTGTCAACATTAACATATGTTAAAATGTATATACATTCCAACTTTAAGTGTAAATTTAAATTCCAGCAAATAAATACCATACCTGGTTTTGGCTTCTTTTGGTATTTTGATTTTCTTAATTTTAGGTTTTTGGTGTTTTTTTTTCAGATTTTTAAATTGACTGCAACATGCTCAAGTAGACTTTCTAGTCGATTCGCCCAAATTCCAACAGGAATTGGTTTATAAATTGGTTCCAACTGGAACTGGTCATTTGGAATTTCCAGCATGGGAAATTATTTTATATGTGCCTTGATAAATACCCTAAATTACAAATCGATGTGTCTAAATCTAATGAAGAAAACAAAAGGTACTGTTATGTAAATGCTGAGCTTAAAAATATCTATATGACTGGGCATCTAATAACCATCTAGACTTAAGGGCATAATGTACTTTTTTTTTTGCCCCTTATTTAGCATCAAATGACAACAGCCCATAAGCACAGTAAATACTGTGCTGTACTTGCCAAGTTAAGATGATTGGTTTATCCTAGCAGTGCTATGGCAAACTGTCAACAGATGAATTTTTTGTTTGCTTCTGCAGACTCAAAGCCTATGTCGGGAGTCATGGCTATATCCCCCAGGCGATCCTCGGTTCCTATGGGGTTTGTATGTGTCCTGGTATGAGTCAGGGTAATCTTCTTCCACAAGAGGGTAATGATCTCGGCTATGCTGGGAACTGGAAGACAAGCGGTTCCTACTCTTCCGAGCCCTTTCATTGTGATAATTTTCATCAGAGGTCATTAGACTTCGTCTTTCAATTGGAGAGTTCTCCGTGGAGTGGTTGCTGTGCCTCATACGCTGACTCTAAAAATATCAGATAGTTCATTAGTTACATCATGTCAGTTTCATTCATCTAGAAGATGTAAATGCACATACAACAGTAGGGTCTGTACAATAAAATGCTAAATATCTGACTTAATAAAGCATTTTGATGCACAAATGGTCTACTCAAAAGATATGGTCTATTTTATTTGGGGCACAACATGCAAAGACATGAAAATGCTGATAGTTTGTGAATTTAATTACATGATGCTACACGATTATGCTTCCTATTAAAAATAGAAATTCGAAAGTTAACTGCTGAATGGAACTTAATGTATCTACGAAGACCTAATAACTCCACTTCTACTGCAAAAATGAGGATCATTTTACTATTGGGAAATAAGTTAAAGTTCAGAATAGCATCTGCTATTTTATTTCTCTCTTGAACTGATAAAATCTTTCTTCCCCTGAAGTCACACACTTCACCTTTATCTAGCTGAATGTTCCTTATACCTTTTAAAAATATTTTCATGAAATTATGATTTGTGCTGCCCATAAAATGATGTGTTTGTTTCTTCATCATACATAAATGTTAAGGCTCTCAGCAATATTCTTTCCAATGGAGTATGCAATAATTCTAGAGCTGGCTAACTGATATTTACAATTCTTGCTTCCTCAACTGAAATGTCCTGCAAAAATTATCTTCAGATATAAACTAAATTCCTTTAATACCATTAATTGAAATTAATACCATCAAACACTTATTTGATGGCTCAGAAACTGTTATTCAACATTTTCCTTCAAATCATGGGAAAACATGTATCATAGCTATGTCTCTCTACTTAGGTAGGTCACCTCAGTTAAGAAACAGGATCCTGATGAAACCAAGGACCCATATACATTTCCTCTAAGGGACACTCACCTTCACACAGCAGGAAGATCATTCAACGGCCACAGCCTGTGCCTTTAACTCCAGCCAGGAGTCTAACAATTAAATACCCAGGATAAAGGGCATCGTGTTAACTCAAGTGAAACTGGGAGAACCTCCCTAGGTGGATGTCTTAGAGGTGATGAGTCTATTCATAAACAAAGTGCATTTCACTTCTACCTACATTAGAGAAGCATATTGCTTCATGCATCCATTTCTCATCCCACCATGTACAATTTGGAGCCAATCCAAACTAGTCAGTGGAGATACTACACTTGGATTAGCACATAGGCAGTGAAATCAGGCAAGAGATGGTCCTGGTGCATACCAAGATACTGTATATTACACAGGCACATTTCCCATGTTCATTTCCAGCCTCAAAGCTATTCGTTTATAGGGCAGGTTTTGTTTACAAAGATGAAATTTTGCAGCAAAGTAATACAGTTAGAATAGCATTTCAGAGAGTGCCCTTTCTCTCAGTTAACTCTACGTGATCTACAATTACAATTATCATTATAACCCATGAATATAAAACTAGTCATGATACAAGAGGGCTCAATTGACTATGTGTTCCTTAGCTAGCTGTGGGTTAGGCTACATTCCAGCAGGCTCTTGGTAAATGGTAAATAACAATTGATTTAGAAAGGCAAAATTCACTTTGTATCATAATGTCTCTGGTTCATTACACCTAGCCCTGAGTGAAGCACTAGAAGAGCAGAAGAGAAAACCTCTCTCTCCTGCACTTGTCCCCAGCCTCCCTAAAGGACACCTGCCATAGCCACTGACCAAGATGGACGCCCACACAAGAAAACTCAAGGATCTGTCAGTTTCCCAACACAGTGGCTCAACTCATGTCCACGTTCTGTACTGAGCAAGCTAGGAGACAGACCTGGCAGCCTGTGGGGCAGGATTAGTTAAGGGCAGTCAAAAGGTCCATCTGCCCCAAAACATCTTATTTAGCTTGCCATGGTGTCTTACACTGCCACCAATGTATAATCTTTAAGAAGTGACCTGGAGAGATAATGGACAGTTGCACTGAGTAGGGAGTAAGTGTCCTGGCAGAGTTTAGACACAGGAGGGATTAATTTGTCTAAGTAAAAGTCATTATACATTAACAGAGAGCAAAGTTCTATGGCAAGGGCCACTGTGGGTAACTTTGCCTAGGGTAGACCATGGTGAGGTAATATTCTGGATTTTTTTTTTTTAAATATAATGCCCACCCATGTTTCCCTCTTCAGATTAAGGATAATCCAGTCTTCACCCCAATCAAGTTCCCTGTAGAATCTTCAATGTAAGGCTGTAAAAACATGGGTGGAAAGTGACAACACCTGTAATCCAGAAATTGCTGTGGGATATGGTGAGAGCGCAGTTGAGCCCAAATTCCTCCCGAGCAGAGGGGTCATGGGGGTGCTACTGGTTGTGTGGGTAGCACGCCAGTAGGCTTCAAGGTATTCTCCCAGATGTTCACATGCATCCTCCAGCTGATTTTCATCCAGTATAACATCAAACATTTCCTGCAGATGACAAGAAAAAAAATCCATTTTACTTATGCTTCAGGTTTTAGGCAACAAAACCTAAAATTCCATTTAATGCAGATAACAGCATTTCTAATATCTAGTACCAAATATCACTTTTGAGGGGCTGGACTGGCAGTTTCTAAAATTAAAGTCAAGTGAGGTGCTGCACAGTTAACCAAGTGCAAATTTGGACATTGACACGAAAATGGGAGTGCTCATTCAATGCTTAGATCTTTCACTATTTAGAAGAAAAAGATGAGGTGAGTGTACAAGTATTATATGCAGAATATAGCAAAAACATTCATATTTATCCATAGATTCCTATGGAGCTCAATTATACTTACTTCAGAATACAAGAGAAGCAAGTTAATAGCATTGAAAGAGGAGTTCTAAAAATGTTTTGGGCAATGACTATGTCATTGGAACAAATATTTCATCTTCCAAAGTAACTATGTTGAAGGGAATAACATTTACTAAGATAATTTTCAGAATGCCTGTGAAAATATTACTGTCTCATGATAAAATAATATGGAAAGAAGATTTAGGATTAATACTAGAAAACCACATTAAGGTGATTTCTGCTACCAAAAGATCATTGGGTGAAACAGTTAAAACAGAACAAGGACCAGAAGTATTTAATCGTGGAAGGAAGGGGTGTCACACAACAAGTGTCTGGTATCCGCGTTTCTGTCAGTAAGGATTTTGTCCAACATCTGGCCTATAATCAGGAAGTGTTTTTCCACCCCAAAGGAGCAAAGTGGCACTTCAGTGTCACTGCAGTGTGGCTGGGAACACAGACAGGATGGACAGTCAGAAAACAGTGGCCCCTCGCAAAGAGAAAAGCCATCCCATAGCTAAGGGTAAGCCCACTCCCAGCTTCAAACAGCTGGATTCAAACCTTCCCTCTCGCACCATCACCGCCACTCCCTGCCTCCTTTTAAGCTCATTTTGCCAAAGTAAGAACCTTCCATTAATGAATCAAATACAGGGTTACTGCCATCAGCACTGCTAGTGCGGCTGGATCGTAGGTCAATGGCAACTGGACAGTTATGAGTTGGTGATAGGTTAGCTGACTCACTCTCCTCAGTGTGAGGCTTCCCTCAAGCAGAAGTCACCTTTTTCTTTTTCCCAACATTTACTATTTGAATGTTTTCATCACATTGATCTCTACTGAACATTTTGACCTTAATTTGCAAAGCAGTTTGAAAGTCAGTGCAAAATGTTTAATAGTGAGAAATGTTCAGCAACTAGGCATAGAATAAGGTGACTTCAGTCCAAACTGATTGGTATTTGAGAAGACTCAGCCAATTCATGTAGAAGCCTTTCCCGGGCACCTGGGTCAGTCGATTGAGCAACTGGCTCCTGATTTCAGCTCAGGTCATGATCTCAGAGTCGTGAGACTGAGCCCTGAGTCGGGCTCTGCGCTGGGCATGGAGCCTGCTTAAGATTCTTTTCGCTCCCTCTGCCCCTACCCCCTCACAAAAAAAAAAAAAAAAGAAAGAAAGAAAGAAAGAAAGAAAGAAAGAAGCCTTTCCTCTTATTAGCAGATTTCAGATTTTTTTGCATATTTTATTTATTCATAAAATATTTACTCAGTGCCTATTTTGTGCTAGGCATTGTAAGTATACTGTGGCAAAGAATATAGACATTGTCGCTATGCTCAAGAAACTCCCCTCTTGTAGTGGGAGAAACAAGTATTAAAACCCTTAATACTCCAAGTCACACTGGGACTTTAATTCAGAACAATTAAAGAGACTGAGCCAGTGAATGTTCAGAGCTGCAGCTTTAAGTTCGGAGTTTAGAAGGAGGTCCAGAGACACAGGTGAAATTCGAACTTATGAGGGAGGGGAAATTATAAGTAAGTCAAAGAATTCTATCTGTAGAGAGCAGAGAGCAGATAAAGAGAAGACTCAAATGGAGAAAGAGACCATGTGGCCCATGAGCGAATGGGAAAAAAGCTGGCCCTACAGTATCGGTCAGTCTATATCCTTACAGTGGTTCCCCTGTGCCACGAAAGTAACTCAAGGGAGGGGCGCCTGGGGGGCTCAGTCATTAAGCAGCTGCCTTCGGCTCAGGTCATGGTCCCAGGGTCCTGGGATCAAGTCCCACATCGGGCTCCCTGCTCAACGGGGAGCTGCTTCTCCCTCTCCCACTCCCCCTGCTTGTGTTGCCTCTCTCGCTGTGTCTCTGTCAAATAAATAAATAAAATCTTTAAAAAAAAAAAAAAGTAACTCAAGGGAATTTCTACCTCTGGCCATCAAAAGCCCCCTGCCCCCATTAGTGTAAAACCGATCAACAGGTACAGATGTCGGATCTGAGAACTGTCCCTCGTGCTCTGATATAAACTTGCATTCTCTGACAGCACTGCAGCACTAACTTGAGTGGGACGAGAACAGTCCCCCCCCGCCGCCCCTCGGAAAGAGTGTGCACAGACTCAGAAAGATGACCCAGGAAGAAGGATGACACTGGGCAGCCCAGGAACGAAGGCCCACTCTGTCAGCCACTGCACGCTAAAACTGTTCACAAATTCTAAACTGTACGTGATATGGAGTCTGTGGTTTATATAATTTCATTTATGTTAACTGTATACTTCACTTAGATAGGTCTCATTCTATAATGTGGGTTCTCAACAACGTGTAGTCTCAAAAACTCATTTTTTTTGCTTTCATAAAGTCCCAAGTGAAAGAACCCTCCCAGGACCTCTGGACTGAGGGTCCGGACTATCACAGTCAGGACAACTAAGCCCAGAAAGGGAAAAACCAGGTAGGCAGCCCCCACTAAAGGGTATTATTTGAACAATGTTTATATCTACTTCACTGTTCCACATGTTACACGGTCATGCTGCAGATACAATTAAACATACACTTTATTACAAGTCATTTTAATAAAGTACTCCTCTTTGCCAATGGACAGAATTTGTACCTATCAGCACATGGCTATTTGCTCAAGCCTCAATCATTTCTAGGAAACGATGCTTTTGCACCTGCTAAAAAGACAGCTGTATGATGGAAGATGATTTGAAACTGCTTTTATGCTTTCAAAAGCACAGAGGAAAGCAAATTTCGGCTTCTGAATGAATACTGACATATGCGTCTTATTTTCAACTAAGAAGAATTTCACAGCCTGTGTATCTGCGACAATTTTTCTTTTCAACTGTTTAGGAAATAACACAGCTGATGAGACCAGAGTGTTAGAATGTGAGTATGAGGGCATACATTTTTAAAAGAAATTATACATGAAATTCAAAAAGAAGCAGCCCCATGAATTATGCAAATCAGCTTTGCCAATTTTTCAAAAATTTAAAGGTTCAAGTCTAATTAGTTCCTTACCGTGCAATATGTGAGACCTCCAGCACGGGGTATGGATTCAGACAGCTATCTAATCAGCGGTAGAGGTTGTGGGTAATGGGACGGTCCCAGGCAGTAGACAGGGACCCACTCAATGATAGCATGCCCTTGGTGAATGCCGAAGATAGGGGAACATGAAGCTGTTTGCCAAGCTCTGCCACAGCAAACACCTCTGACATACTGGGATGGGGTATTCTCTTTAGCTGAGGTGGGCAGAAATAGTGTGGCTGCTAAAGTAAATACATCATGAGCAGGGGAGTCAAAACCAACTCTTGGAAAACCAGGCACAGCAGGTGCCTTTTCTGGATAAGCTTGTTGGGCAAAATGAAATACTATAGCGTTATAAATATAAGAACAGTGAAAACTGGGCCTCCAGCTCACCCAGTGGTTCAGAGAACTAGACGACAGGGACCAGGGAAAGCAAAGACTGATGCTGAATTCAATGGAAAGGAAGAAGATCTGCAATAGCTTTTTAAAAGAAAATCTTAAGTACTTAACGATCTGTCTAGTTGTCCATTCACAGAGCAAAGTTTCCCAGAGAAGGCACCCGAATCAAGGTTGATCCTGATCTGCCTGGGACTGAGTGTTTTTGGGTACTTCAGACTATCAGTGTCCAAATCTGGATTCGGGGCAGGGGAGTGGGACAGTCGGTCACCCTAGATTTTACAGAACATAGAGCAATTTTCAGTTCCTACATTGAGAATTGGAGCAGGTTCTGTTTGTTTCTTTTACATTCCTTTGGGCGGGGAGATACTGAGACAGAGTGGACAGGTCTTTCTTTATGACTATGAAATCCATCCTTTCTAGCATAGAGGGGAGGGTCTCATGAAACCTAACATACAATTTGTAATATGTTTTATCTAGGATGTTGCTATTGAACATATCCTAATAAAAAGTTTATAAAACTTAGAAATTAATTTTGCAATTTAATTTTAACTTTTTTTTTAAGTTGGTGCATTACAGAATACTAGCTAGGCATGAGAGTAAATACAGATAAACTCTCCCATGGGATGTGCATCACTTTATATTTATTTATTGTGCATAGATAAAACCTCAGGTGGGGCATCTTTCCTATTTCTAAGAGGAAAAAAGAAATAATAGGGGTAAGTACACTTTTATTTCTTTGCTCCTAGAATATAGAGATCCTGAATCCACTACCATTTAAAAAAAAAATGGCAGATACAATTCAGTAAAATAAAATGGCTGAATGACAAATATGTAATGCTAACTGTAAAATAACCAACCAATGTTTCTTTCATATTGCAAGTGCATTCTTGATATTATTAAAGCTTTTGAAGTCCCTAGTACTTGACTCACTGGTCAGCTAGTGATGGGAAACTGGATCTTAAATTAAAAGCATCTTGAAAGATTTAGGAAGTCTTACAGGGGATAAAAGAAAGCCTACCAATATTATGGGCTCTAGCAGTTCATCTCAGGTAGTTTCCAACTTTAATAAGCTGAACAGGAAAAGACAGTCAGAATTCTTGCCACTAATTTCAGGGGCAAAACATAAAAGCAAAGAATATCAATGACTTTGATCCCTTGTAGTTCCTCTCTTAACAATCTGTGACATTCATCATGAACCCATGCACATTTCCTCACCACACCCCTCCGTCCTGTCCATTCCTATTCTTCAAAAATTACAACATC